CTCATTCTCTCTCTGTCTCTTCCTAATACATAACGGACACGGTTTCTACGAGTCTTTGTAGAAATGAGTTACCTCATAAAAATTTAATTTTTTAGATGGAATTTTTTAGTTAATTTTTAAGGAGAGATTATGAATATGAAAACATAAATTTTTTTTTTTAAATTAAAAATAATAATTTTATTAAAAAAACATTATATTTGAATGGCTAGTTTGAATTATTTTTAGATGAACCACTTATTTACATCTATCATTAAGATGGATGGTCTATACTTCGGGGACAACAAATGTAGAAATGCAGTCCCGGCCGCATGAAACAATTTTCCATACATAAGAGACCCACCATCTTCTTTCTTACTCTACACTCCCACACTTCACTACACACTCTCTTCCTACCTATTTTATTCTCACACCTCACACCACTTGATGCTCATTTCACTTGATCCCTACTCGATCCTACTTCACTTGAAGTCTATGCTCCACAACTTAAAAACTCCTTATTTATAGCCTTCATGCACAACCACATTTGTCCTTCTTCCATATCCCACCATCTAAATGAGATTAGTGAAGGGGTGTTTTACAAGATTAGTGAAGACATGAGGTCAATAATACCCTAAATGGGAAGCACTATCTGAATAAGAAACTCTCAGGTTGTGGAAGATTGATGAATAGCAACCAGTAAAGAGCACTGATTTCATGCAACCGTTGTATAGTCATACGATATAATAACTTTAAAAAACCATCTTATGGCTATCTTTTTTATCCAAAATTTGAAATATACACTCTTTTCATTCTAGTGAACGATCACAAAAAAAGAAAAAATTGAAAACACTACCTAGAAAGTATTTTTTTGGCCCAATTAACATAGGCCGTTCATTTTGGTGAGATGCTTAGATCTAAGCCTTAGAAGGATTTTTTCATTTCCAATTTTTTTGGATGGCTTTATTGTCATTAGATAAACAATATCAACAAAGAAAAAAATGATTTTGAGTTTATAAATACTAAGATATTGAAATTCACAAAATGAATGGTTTAGATTCGTTTTTGGAGGGGACTCATTTGATCATATCTACGGTTCAAATTGAATTTTTTTTTTTTTTTTTTTGGGATTGATTATTGAGATGCAGAGAGTGAATGTGCAAAATTTGAGGTTATACAAATACTACAAACATGGTTTTCTAGATATATAATAAACAATTTTCCATACATAATAAATATAAATTAAGAAAATATCAGAAGGTTCAACATGAATAAAACAAATCCTATTGATTCCCCACTTGTGATCATTTCAAGCTAAGTACCCAACAAATCCCTTCAAATATGAAGGATAAAAAATAAATGGAGAAAAATTCAGTATGCATTGATCATAAAAAAACATAATACATCCATGTTGTGTATGAGATTGGAAATTATATATGTAGTTTGGTGTAGTTAAGGCATTTGAGTTTCATAGGTGGTAAACTTATGGTAGAAGGATATAGAGATGCAGGCATGATAGGAGATGTCAACTCCAAGAAGTCCACAAGAGGATACTTGTTTACTTTTGCAAGGGAATTTTGTTCATGGCAATCCAATGTCTACTATAGAGGCAAACTATATTTCAGTCACTAAAGATAGTAAGGGGGATGAAAATGTTCCTCTTAAGAATTAGGCTTGAAGCATAATAAGTAAGTTGTCCATTGTGATAATCAAAGCACCATTCACTTGAACAAGAATGCAAGTTTTCAGTCATGGAAAAAACACATTGATGTACAATACCATTTGATTCGGGATGTCCTAGAAAATCGGTAGTTCAACTGAATGCAATCGACAAGAATACATTGGATATAATGACCAATACTTTATCCAAAGACCAAAAAAAGGAGCTTTCTAAAAGCATGATAGGATTGTGAGCCATATGAACACCAAGCTATTTTGGGAGCCCTTCTCATAAGTTGGAGGGGTAGATTGGTGGGTTTCATGTTTCATGAGGTGGAATGCTAATATTGGGGATGTTATGAGCATCTCCAAAAGTACATAAATATTAAGCCCAGAATAAAAGGGTTTTGGGTGGCAAAATGTTGTTCTCCTTTCACTAGAAAAGGGGGTTTTCCTCTTAAAAAGAGAGAATGTTTTTGAAGAAAAGAACATGGATTTTTAAGTATGGCTTTTTAGAGAGACAAAGAGATGAAGAAGGAGATTGTGATTTATAGTATGAACTTGTGTTTGCCACTGGTGATACTGAAATAGTATTAGTATTTGTGCACCCCCTCAAACTTTGACACAACTAGCCTATTTATGCATGGATATGGTTTATACAAGGTCTCGACCTTAAATCATCAAAGTAAGGTGCACCTCCACCCTGATGGATGATGCAATTCTGGTGCTGAAAATCATTGTGATGACCTAAAAATCTATTTCTATCCATATTAAAATTCAAGGCTCCAAAACTGGTGCAGATTGATCAAATTTATAAAACACTTAAAATTTTTGATAATGGACGGTCTAGATAAACCATTACTAGATATACTATTTTAAGGACTTGAACTCTTTTTCTTTTTCATATTCCTACCTCTCGAAATTAAGATGATCAGGGGCTTTTATCGGAAAAACCTTTTGCCATGAGTTTTTATACTTTTTATACATTTTTCTTACTCTTTAGTGCACTTAGAATGACCTATATTTCTCCTGGGGTTAAAGTTATGGAGCATAAGATAAATCTTTTGCAGGTTGGGGACAAGGCAAAAGTATAATAATAATATAAAAAAATAAAAAATTGAAGTTTGACCCTATGATCACATAGCACCTCTTTCTCGTTTGTTTCTCTCCACGAACCTTGAAACTTCAATCCAAGGCGCCAATGATCCAGCACCAAGAATCTTTTTTAAAAAATACTCCATTGATTCCAATAGCACAAATACTCTATTGACTCTTGCCAAAATATGTTATACTCTGGTGGGGAGTAGAATGTTCATTTACTCCTTCATGTAAAACTCCATAATTTTTTTTTTTTTTAGTAAGTGAAAGAAGAACTAATTTTACAACCTCAAATTTTGGGGTGGTAACCTCTTTAACCCATAGATTAACCTCAATAAAAGAATTTTCTTATTGTAACCTCTATGCACTTGAAAAAATAATGTCCGATATCGAATAGAGACCATCCAATTTTAAAAAACTGAGATCTAAGTATTCGAAAATTCAAAATTCAATTTTTTTTTTAGAATAATCATCTAATAATTATTAAATAGTTCCAAAATATCACAATGAAAAATCCTCCCAAATAAATCCTCTTACCAAGGGATTGAAGTAAACTATGCTCCCAAAAAAACATAGTCTACGTGACCTTGACTCTTTTGCCTTAGATTCAAATTTTAAAATAAAAAAAGAAATTGTGGCCATATAAAATTACCTACAAAGACAATACAAAATCTTTAAGCAATAATAAATGGGTGCGATTTGTATAGAGCCTAGGCTCTAAACAATCAAATTAGAGCCAACCTTCAAATAGTGTCTAGAAATGTAGTTTTATCATTGAAAGTTTGAAACTTATTTGTGATAG